TGTTCTGTTTGTGTATGCTTGTCTTGTTTGCATATGAAAGCAATTTCAAACGTTTGTATATTTGTTTTGTTTGTATGTAAGCACACAATTTCAAGTATTTGTATGCTAGTTTCGTTTGCATGCCGGCTCTCAGTCCATAAAAAAAACATTCACAATGGCGCGTTTCACAGAGGCACCAAATAATAAAATAAACACGGGCGCAACATACAACTGAATATTCTGAAAAATTATGCTCTTTAAAAACATGAATGTGTTCTGGGTTTTTTTGCAGGAAAATTGTTTATTTATAAATATTTTTAATTTTTTTCTGTTTCTGTCAAAACAAACGTTGAAAACTTGTAGACAACTTTATAAACAAAGTAAAATATGAACACATTGAAAACTTTACAATACAAAGTCGATCCGTAACAAACAATTTAAAAACAAATATATGAACAAAGATTCAAACATACATACAAACATACATACAAACATGCGAACATATATAGAAACATACATAGAAACATATATACATACAAATTCCACGCAAACAATACAATTATCTACATATAAACAAACAAGCATATAAATATACATAAAAACAAAATATGCAAAAGTTCAAGCAAAACAAACACTAAGACAAATAAACAAACAGACATTAAAACAAACATACATAAAGCTGCATACAAAGATACAAAAAGACAGGCATACATAAAGATGCATACAAAGATACAATCAGACAGACATACATAAAGATATACACAAAGATATCAAGAGACAGACACACATAAAGATACATGAAGATAGCGTATGTCGCTTGCGCAAGACACTAATCGTTAATTATTGTTATCCGTAACGTAACTGTACCCATGTCCATGATGATGACGATGACGACGATGACGTTTATGATGTTGATGTTGTTGTTGCTGTTGTTGTTTTTTTTGGTGTTTTTGTTGTTGTTATTGTGATTAAGTTACAATAGTAATGTTGTTGTATTATTGGTTAATAAATAGATAAATAGACGGATGAAAAAATGATTGATTGAATGAATGAATAAATGAATTAATAAATGGATGAATGAACGACTGACTAAATGAAAAGGTGAATGAATAAAAAAAAGTTGAGAAGTTGAGCTTAAGCAAAATGAAACAATTGGTCAGTTTTATATTTTCACACATTTTATGTGATATTTTTCTTTTACTTTCAACTTTTCCTCTCTTTCCCTTTTTTTCTCTCTTTCCTTCTTTCTCTCTCTTTCTCTCTCTTTCTCTATTTTATTTGATTGACATCTCAGTAGTTTAATTCTGATTTTAATTGGCATTTTGAATTTATTATTCACATTTTCGAAATAGAATTTCAAATTGAAATTGATGAACTGAAGTTCAACTGCCGATTGCTTTGAGAAGTTTTTTAACAAGGGACAAAATAATTTTGTCACAATAAATGAATAAATAAATAAAAATAAAATAAAATATGTTGGCCATACCTAATAACAAATCATGAAATACAAAAATTCTCGAAACTCTCCTTAATTTTAGATCCCTCAATCGAAACACGCAATTATATCAAAAATGATTTTTTCATTTTTTTTTTACGAAGGCGTAAGAAGACGTAAGCGTGCTGGTAGTTGTTTGCAATGTACACATACACGTACACACACACACACACACACACACACACACGTATGCATACACACGCGAACATACACGCAAACACACGCATACACACGCACATTCATACATACAAGCGAACATTCCTAAATAATTTCTACCCATATAAATTCCTACCCATATAAAAAGACAGACGTTTAAGTAGAAGTCCATAGTTTTTTTTAAATGAAGACAAATTTGTTAACCAACGTTTTTAATAATTTTAATATTATTTATTAATATTAATATAACTTTTAATGTAGCAATTCTTTTTATTATTATTGATGTTATTTTTTATTTTTGTTACTATTGTTGGCAGTATTTTTCAGAATAATATTTACTACGAACAACTGAAGGGTTTTTTTTAAAAATATAATTGTTGGCCTTGGAAGTTTCGATTTAAAGAAGAGAATGAATTATTTTGCGCTACAAAAACATTTCAACTTTTGAAACTGTTGTTTTTTAGCAAAATGATAAATTCAAGAAAAACATTTTAAAAAATTAAATTAAATTTATCGCTTCGGAAAGGGAAAAACTAATGAATGAAAATTCTCTAAAATTTGAAGAAAAAAATTAATGAATGTTATATCCTGTTTGTGATGATGTGTATTGCTTTGTTGCACACACACACACACACACACACACACACACACACACACACTCACACACACACACACACACACACACACACACATTCACGCAAACACAACGTTTGACAGTTTTACATCTCCCAGTTTGACATATGTTATGCAATGGATGCAGTCAATCTTGTTGATATTTTCATACATTTGCAGTTTATCACTTGCCTCAAATGAGCAGCTTATATTAAATTATCGCATTTTATATTTTAAATAAAAGTTTCTCGGATGTTTTTTGCAGTACAAATATGTAGGAAGTTATAAACAGAATAGATGAAAACACAATAAAATTTAAAATGTTCTAAAAAGATACATTTTGTCAGAGCGTGATGAACGTCTCATATATAGATATTCGTGCATTAAGTCTCTCTCTCTCTCTCTCTCTCTCTCTCTCTCTCTCTTTCTTCCTCTCTCTCTCTTCTTTCTTTTTATAATTAGTTATTTAATGAAATAGATTAAAAAATATAGTAAAATATAGTACAGTCTATTAAATGAATTAAAATGTATTTTCAACAGACCAATGGACAATTTTTATACACAAACATGACATGCTTTCTACCACTTAGTTTTGTTTTCTTAGTTAAAGTTTTCACAGTTTTGTTTTTGGCGTTTAGCAAACACACACAAAGATTTGCCAGAAATAACGCATCGTACATACACCCATGATCTTTCAACTTGCTGCTTTGGGTCATTTCCAAAAAATAAGATTCATGCAATGTGGAGTGAAATTAAAGGAAAAAATAAAAATTTAGACGAGCATCTTTGTATCTTTGTTTTTTCAAACAAATGAACACAGACAGTATATCTACATCTAGCAACAACCACACATACCAAACTAAACAACCACACGCTAATACAGGCGTAGGCATGCGGCCCGCGAGGCCTTGTTCGTCAAAATAATAAGGTAGTCAGCCAGACATTATGACCAAAAAAATGCAAAATGTTTGTGATAAACACATTCAAACATAAACTTATAAACATTGCTATACAATTATAAACACATACAGATACTCGCCAAGATAAACATAGTTAAACAAATGTTACATACATGCAAACATACTTACATGTTACACATACAAATATATATGTAATAATAATGGTATACGCAAACAGTTATACAAGTTTTACATACATACATATTTTCAAAAGTTATATACAAACAAGTCATAAAAGGAATCATACGCCATGGAGCCTCTATCATTTTGTCTTCACAAGCAAAACAAAAAATTGAACAAATAAAACAGCAACAAAAATAATAACAGTAACAAAAAACAACAATAATAATGACAACAACAGTAGCAGCAACAACAGTAGCAGCAACAACAACAACAACAGTAGCAGCAACAACAACAGCAATAGAACAGCAAAAACAACAGCAAAACAGCAAACAAAGTAAGCAATTAAAAATTCAAACATAGAAAATAAAATGCACCCATAAACAAACCCACACCATTGTCAGCGGTCGATCACGTGACGCAGCGGCGTTGCCATGACGACGACAATTGCACATTTTTCTGGCGGATTTCGGGTTCCGTACGTATTGTACGTACGTATATATGTATGTGTGTGTGTGTATGTATGTACGTAGATATGTATGTATGTATGTATGTATGTATGTATGTATGTATGTATGTATGTGTGTGTGTATGTATGTATGTATGTATGTATGTATGTATGTATGTATGTATGTATGTATGTATGTATGTATGTATGTATGTATGTATGTATTTATGTTTGTGATGTATGTACGAAAAAATGGCGTCGAGACCGGTCAAAATAAACGAGCTTCTTTATTTTGTTAATAATAATTTAAGTTTAATAGAGGAAGAATCATTTATTAATAATACTAGTGAATTTTATACTAGTGACGATATCGTTCTAGCAATTAAGACATTAAAATGTGAAATAGACTCACTAAAGCTAGATAAAATGGAAAAATTTCCCTCGCGCGGTAATTCAAAACGTGAAAAACTTCTGGAATGCTTGACTTTATTCAGGTATATTAAAAATAACAATTTGTTGGATAAAATAGCATTATTTTGCAGTTCTGATATAAATAAAATACCAAACACGGAAAACTGGCTGAAAATAAATTTCGACTTCGTTAACAAACAAATAAAAGAAATGTTGTTCGCTCAACAAGCTGAGATAAATAAAATGTTTTCATCTTATACTACCGAGTTGGATAATGTTAAAAATAAACTTAACTCTCTTGTTGCAAACAATGTTGGCAAAAAAGTAAACGTTGACTCAGTAATCTCTAACAATGTAAATAACACGTTGCCACCAACTAACCAAAATGCGCCAGGAATTTTGTGGGCGGACGTCGTGTCATCATCCACTCTGGACGAAGCGGCACAACAAACGTCCACGTTTGAACGTCTCATTGGAGGTCAACAACAACGGCGAAACCACTTCAAACAACAACAACGAAAACACGGCAAACATCAAGACAGCTAAAAAACCAACAAAAGTTATTGGCAAAAAAGTTATTGAAGATTGTAAATTGAGGGCAGACAAAAATTTAATTAAAAAATCTGTGTTCTCAATGAGCAACATTAGTAAATGCCATCGAAGAGATGTTGTTGAATTTTTGACGTCAAATGGAATCAATGTCATCACGTGTTATCCTGTTTTGAAAAAAACAAAAATATCGTCGGATAAAAATTTTGACAAAGATGACCAGGAATGAACAATGTTCAGAGTCTGCATCGCTAGCTCAGATGTCGGTAAGATGAAGGATCCTGACATTAGGTTGAAAAACATTATTGTGCGCGTATGGCGCTTCAATCAGACGAAACCTGATGCTAATACTCTGGATGGAAAGTAAAATTTTAAATAACCAACTTTTAAATAATGAAGAACAATTGTTACAAAATTCAATGATGTTTGATGATCCAAAGTCAGTCAATGCTAAATATCAATCTTTCATTTCTGACGAAAGTAATTCAATGCTAAACGTTATTCACTTGAATATAAGAAGTCTAATAAACAAAACTAACGAATTTTATGATTTCTTAATAAATTTTTCCTTCAAATTTGATGTCGTAGCAATAACAGACACCTGGCTGAATAATGACCATGATGTTGAAATAGAGGGTTATTATTTTGTTGGAAAAAATCGATGTGGTAAGCATGGTGGTGGTGTCGGTTTTTATTTGGAAAATAGTTGTTTATTTAAAATTCGAAATGATTTGAATCTTATTGGTTGCAAAGACTTTGAAACATTTTCAATCGAGCTAATTATAAAGATTCAAAAAAAAATTCGATAATGATCGTAACTTACCGACCTCCGTCTCAAGATCCAAAATTTTATATCAATCAATTAGAACAGTTGTTACACGCTGCGAACAATGAAAATAAATTTATCTGTTTATTGGGGGATTTCAACTTCAACTTATTTTCCGTAGAAGAAGACAACAGCACAACTAATTTTTTACATCTCACTTCATGCTACAATTTATCACCGATTATTACAGTTTCAACAAGAACCAGCATTAGAAAACAATCAGTGATAGACAACATTTTGTGAACTGTTTAAAACCTTCAAGACTGAATGGCGTTGTGATGTGCGATCTATCAGGTCACATTCCGATTTTTGCTTCAATTGATGATGGAAATAGAAGCATTGATGTGAAAGATTCAACACAAATGAAATTCTCTTTTCCAACACATCGTCTGCGGAGATTGAATGAACGTTTGCAATTTTCTGACTGGAGTGAAGTTTTTGATTGCATAGATGTTGATATGGGGTTTGAATTGTTCATCAACAGATTTCAATCCTATTTCTATGATGTGTGTCTGATAAAATCAAATAGAAAGAAAAACAAACTCTCAAAACAAAAGCTGTGGTTCACTGCAAAATTTAAAAAATTATTAAAAAAGAAAAAATGTTTATTTAAAATATATCTGAAAAATCCGTCTGAAGATCGACTTTTAAAATTCAAGACTTGTAGTAAACTGTGTACCAACTTAAAGAACAAATTAAAACGTAGATACTACATCAACCAAATCGAGCAAAATATAAACAACAGCAAAAAAACTTGGTCAATAATTAAGGAAGTATCGAATAGATCCAGTAGCCATAAAACGAATTTGCAAGTAACTTCAAATGAACAAATAATTGAAAATCTAGAAAATTTTTTGAATGATTATTTTATCAACATAGCACCAAATCTGCTTAAATCATTTCAAACAAATAATCAATGGAAAAAGTTTCTTGGCAACAAAATACCAAACTCGTTTTTTGGCCTCCACGCATCTGCAGAAGAAATTATTTTCGCAACAAAACTGCTGGCTCCAAAATCATCTAGCGGCTGGGATGACATTCCAACCAAAATAGTCATATCAACGATCCACTCCACAGCCTGGGTTCTCGAGCACATCATCAATCGCTCACTCACAACAGGTATTTTTCCTAGATACTTCAAAACATCTAAAATCATACCGTTACAGAAAGTAAATAATGTTTCTAATTTTTGACGCATCTCATTAGTTCCTGCATTTTCGAAAATAATTGAAAAAATTATGCATAAACGAATAATATCGTTTCTAGAGAAAAATAATATTCTATCATGTTACCAGTTCGGGTTTCGAGAGAAACATTCAACAGAACTGGCAATAATAGAACTCGTAAGGAAAATTGGAAAGCTAGCGGAGAAAAAACAATTCATCGTAGGAACATGTCTAGATCTGTCGAAAGCTTTTGATTGTATTGATCATTCCATCCTGTTGGGTAAGCTTGAACACTATGGCATAAGAGGAACGACTTTGAAATGGTTTGAAAGTTATTTGTCTGAAAAAAGCAGTTTGTCAGCTGGGGAAATAAAAATTCAACATTACAACATAATGGTGTTGGAGTCCCACAAGGAAGTATCTTGGACCACTACTTTTCATCTTGTTTATCAACGATTTGCCAAATGCATCAAACTACTTTGATTATGTTTGCTTTGCAGATGACACCAACATTTTTGTAGCGGAACTAGCATCGATGGTGTTATTGACCGAACAAATGTTGAATTAAAAAACGTCGTCAAATGGTTCAACGACAATAAATTAGCACTGAATACTTCAAAAACCCAAATGATCGTCTTCGGTCCAGTGCAGTGTTTAAACTATAAAGAACTGTTCAAAATTACAATTAACAATCAACAAATAGTCGAGAGCAAAATAGTAAA